AAGGATATGGAACGGAAGCGAAACGGAACGGATAGTGTGCATTGTCCTATTCATTTACAATGATATAATATTTTATGTAAACGGAAGGGAAACGGAAGGTATAGTGAGAATCAACCTTAAGGCATAATTTTATTTATGATTCTCATTTTCTTTAAATAAAAGTTGTCTTTATCGAAGAGAGAAATATATATAAGATATATAATAAGACAAATTCTACATAAATACACTTTTAGAATATCAAGAATATTTTAAAATATATCGATATAAATCTCCGGAATTTCGTTATAAAACAATCGTTTTTAAAGAATTTAATAGAAATAGATTAAGTAAATATTTTTTTTATAAAACGGGCAATGATTTAAATATTTCAGATTAGTTATATATGTTATTTTTAGTTTTATATTAACCAATACATATTTTTATTTTAGTGTTAAATTATAGTCAATGAACTTATGTTTATTTTGCATTTTTTTTGTTTTAAATTAAAGATTAATTAAAACGATTCCTTCTTCCTTCAACGGTATTTCAACGAAAAATTCTAACATCCACTTTCTTTGCTAATTAATCATTGAGAAAGAACTAATAGCCGGAAAAGAGGTATTACGAAAACAGCTACCTACTAGTTTTTTACTATTTCCTGTTAACGTTCTTTGTTTCGGGTGCAGCGTTGGGAATAAGAAAAGCTTGAAATATTGATTAAAAACGGGGATTAATCCGATATGGGCTCAAACTACTTTAATGCGATATTCCAAAAGAAATACTTTGATGCAGGTACAGTATTTTTTCTTGTTCTCTTTCAAGGAACACCTTGCAGACTGCAGATTATTTTCCTTTAGTTGCAGAATAAAAAATAATATTTTTTTGTATTTAAAGTGCTTTGAAATTATTTATCGTTGCGCAGTTATTCGCGGTATTTTTAAGACAGTTAAATTCAGTTTAATATTAGACACAAAATAATTTATTTTAAATAATTAAATGGCTTTTATCAAAAACTACTGCTGAGCGAGTCACATGCTGTGCATTATTTAATTTTTTTATCGAAAACGTAATAGTATGGGTAGTACACTTATACATATTTATATATTGTATACACAGTACACAAAAAAAACAAAAAATTGCATTATATTTTAACAATTTTAATATTAAATTATTTTGAACACCCTGTATAATTTACAATTACGATATTATAATAAATTCAAAACAATGTGAAGAAAACCTCGAAGAAAACAACTGTAGAAAAATCTAACAGTCTTGATTTCGGAAAATGTCTTTAATTTTTCATATTATTTTTAAATGCTACAAAATATATTATTATTTATTTCTCCTAAAGAATCAAAACAAATTCAATAACAACCCAGATATATTATGTAAAATGAACAGGAGGGAACCCAACAGTGGCGGCTCGTCAGGGTAGGCAAGGTAGGCGGCGCCTACCCTAAGATTTTGGCAGAATTTAAGCGATTTATTACATTACATTATTTACTATTAATGTTGCCAATACATAAAAATACTCTTAATACACGGAAGTGTGTTTTAATAATCAATATTATTTTAATATTTGTGGTCTTGAATATTAACATATTCACTACCGCTGGCGTACGCTGACGCTGACTGTGCCGCTACTTTAGAAAACAAAATAATTTTGACCGTTGGAGCTGTTTGGAGTGCCTGTGTTCGACGATTTCTACAACGCCTACTATCAGAGTCGATGCACGACGTACACGACGGCGCGGCGGGAGAACCACATCTGTCCTAATGAGCATCTGTCCTACCAGTTGTTCGGGTAGAGTCGTCCACCCGAACGCGTCCCGAACGTTAAAAACAGCGTTGTCAGGTTGTCGCATTTTCAAGAAGCAATAACAAAATTTTCTTGTATCGGAAAGAGTGTAAGGTATTTATATTATGTAAATATAAAGTAAAAATAGACTAGAGACTTAATTAAGACTTTATTGACATATTTAATAAATAATTACAAGGTTTTATCTAAATTATTTTGTGTGTTTGGTTGCTCATACCTAATTGCAATAGTTTATATTATGCCATTGTTTTGTTTTTTTTATTCTCACAAATAAGAAATAAATGTTTTGAGTTTATTATAAAAAATCAATGATTATAAGACATTTTATTTACACCCCTTACACTGTTTTGTGTACTACCAAGAGTATATTTCGTGACCTCTTATGATAAATGGGCACAAATAGTTTTATTACTTAATGCTTAGATTAAAATATTTAATCTATGATTAAATTTAATAATATATTTGTACATTAAATATAATAGACAAGAGGCCCAATTAAGAGTTTACTGACATAATTACTAAAGTTCATCTAAAGTTACAAGAGATTTTTTATATGTATTTTTGGTTGCCTATGACAGGCGAGGGCAGGCGTTTATTTAACCTTTTTTCACAAATAAATGTTTTATGGTTTTTATTATAAAACAAGGATTAATTTATTATACACCCCTTACACCTTCAAAAAGATTCCAAGGGGAATATGTCGTGACCTCTTATATTAAAATGGACAAGGTTTATTAGTAAATGTTTTAGTTACCCATCAGCGTCTTTAATAAAAAATCTAATGTATTCTATCTAGTGTATTTTTCATAGAAATGATCTGACATCATAAAAGCAAATTTTTATCAAAAACTTTGATTATCTATATTGTTTAACTTGTAGTTTAACCTAACTTGCACATAATTTTTAATTTAAAAGCAATATTTTTTCTTGAATAATATGGTGAACTTTAATATAACTAAACTCACTTTTTTATAACTTAATTCTTTTGTAATATTCGTTTTTTAGCAATTAGAGTAAAAATTAATTAGGATACAATTTCTAATTTGAAAGATATATGAAATTTCATCAGTTTTTCCAATTAAATAAATATACAGGCTCTTTCTAAAATATCTAATTTACTTATTATTTTGACATATCTACTAACTTTAATTTTTTTATTTTAGGTATTTATGTTCTTTTTTAAAATAAATTAAGAATGATTCAGAACCACTGATGTGTGTTCAGAACTGACTCCTTCGGCCCAATTTAATTAGATATGTTATAAAACTTTGACAAATGATTTTTTTTTCAAACGCAACAAAAGTATTAATTTTGGCGACGTGATTGATAAGTAATTTAATGCTAGGCATAAAATAAAAGCACTTTACGCATAAGCATAAAATGGCATAAAAGTACGAAAATATATTATTAAACTGATATAAAGTGTCAATCTCAACGAGTGTAACCATAGCTTCTTCGATATAAGTACCGTATGATCGAATAAAACGGCCTCAGCGTGGCTATGAAATGAAGATCGCTGTCATTTTATATGTAAATTTATATGGGAAATGTCATCGATTGCCATTTCATAGCTATCGTTGACGCCGTTTTTATTCGATCATACGGTTTTTTTTTTTTTTTTTTTTTATTGTTATTTTTAAATCTTGTTATATTATTTGCAAAGTTTGAAATTGTTTAAAAAATATTTGTGGACGTTTGAAAAATAGCATGTCCTGGCCTGAGTAAAAATGACGGTTTGTGCCTATGGCCTGTAATGAAATAAATTATTTATAATATGAAAAAATTGTTTACCTTTTTATTTTTTTATAGATTATTGTCAAAAAAGTGATTGGGTGCAGTATTAGTAATAAGAATAATAATAATTTTTTTTTTTTTTTTTATATTATTTTTTATATCGCTGTCATTTTATTTAAAATTATATGGGGAATGTCATCGATAATCATTAACAAGCTAACTGGACGCCGTGTTTTTTCGATCATACAGTACTATACAATTGAAAAAAATTGCTGCTCTTCCAGCTGTTTTTTTTTTTTGATTTTGCCAGTATTTATATATTTATATGTAATTTGTTTTTTTTTTTTTTTTTTTTTTTTTAATTTTTTTTATGAATTCCTTTGCTCACATATTTTGTTCTTGCTATTTTACCTGGTTTTGTCTCAAGAAATACCTAATTATTAATGTTAAATTATTATTAACTACTTTTAGGGGTCGTTACAGGTAGTCTTTGCTATACACAGAATAACTAATTAACTAGTTACTTTACTACGAATAAGCTCTCCATAGTCTTTACTTTCAATCTCATTAACATAATTGGAATAAAGTGAAAAAAATTTCCCTGTAAATTTCTCAGAATTTTTTTTTTTATTTTATTATTTTGACAATTTGAGATCTTTTTTATAAAGTACTTTTTATAACTTTATACCGTAATTTTGTAATTTTAATAAATAAAAATGTTTTTTAGCACACAGAATATTGCAACCACAGCTGCAACTTTAAGATAGATATTTTTTCTGGTTATATTTGAAAATTAATTCAGATCGATACATTTTTTTAGTTTGAAAATATTTGAAATTCTATCAGCTTTTGCAATTTAAAATACAGGTTTTCTAAAATTTTTAACTTCTTATTATTTTGACATACTAACTTTAAATCATTTTTGCTTTTAGGTATACCTGTCTTTTAAAAAATAAATTCATTAAAAAAAAAAAAAAAAAAAAAATATTTTAATTCAGAAAGATAATAATACAAATAAATATACTTTTAAAAAATATTTATTTATTATTAGAATAGGTATACTAGAGTTGGTATTTCAGGCCTTGGGTGCCGATATTTGTGTGTATGAAGAGTACGGTCAACACGATTAGTAAAATAAGATGTGTACTATTTGTATTTATAGAATATGTGGGATTTTTTTCTGAAAACAATAAATTTATTATATTACGACTTTGCTGCACACATGTATGGATAATTTATTTACCTTTATGCCTTAATGTTCAGACTTTACTGTAGTTTACGCTGCATCATTCTAAATTGTTCCCGAAGGGTATCCTGAAGACTTTATACATTTGTCCTACGTCAGATATTTTTCTGTAATCTTATATCATTGTCCTGACAAGATCTTCTAAATAAAGTATTCGAAAATACCCATGTTCTGTCTAAGCAGGTTTTTTATCCTAGAGCTTAATATTCAATAAATCTACAAAATAAATGAGTTAACGAGGTTATAAATAGAAAACAAAAATAAATGCCTTTATAGGATCAGTCCTCTTAAATGTGCTATGTGATACACGATTGATACGATTTTCATGTATATGAAGAGTATGGCCAATATGCTTATTACAATCAGATGTATTGAACTTGGTATTGAATGCATAGGAAATCATCAGATTAAGTGTTGTTATGTAATAAATATTTTATATTTTTTCTATCTCCGACCAGATCACCATAGCGATTCACACCTACACGCGTAAACACCAACCTAAGGCTTGCCGATATGTCCTTGTGCTAGAAGTATAATATAAAGGTATGTGGTCTAGGAAGGCTGACACTTATGTCTCATATAATCGAAAAAACTGCGTCCAGTTGGCTTGAAATGACGATCCTTGACATTCCCTATATAATTTTACATATAAAAGACACCGGATCTTCATTTCATAGCCATCACTGACGCCGTTTTTTTTTCGATCATATTGTACCTACCACATGGTACATACCTGCCTATCTCATATATCATATGCCTTATAGTTTTAAAGATGATAAATTGTCTTTTGTATTATGCGTATAGCTGTAATTCAAAATAAATACATTTCTCGTAAAAATACCACAATGTTATAGTGAATAGATTCATAATAAAATACTTACTAGTTTGCTTTTCCAGTTTAACGTAATTTATTTATCGTTTTTAATCAGTTTTCCTTTTGAAAAAAAAAAAATTTTAACCTTAAAATTTTCTCTCTTTTAAACCATCTCATTTTTGCTCATATTTTTATAATTACTTATTATGCCTAATACATGCCCGTGCTGTTTCCTGAAGAATGAATTTTTGTAAGCTACGATCTTGCAATTAAAACAATATCACATACCTGGAACCTGAAAGGACATCATGTGGGAAAAATAATTAAGAACATTTTTTCCGCAAATCACGGCTAATTTATTTTCAGGAATTTGTGGATAGCTTAATATTTTCTAAAAATTGTTAATCGTTTTACAGCTTTTGTTTGAATACATATTATCTAAATACACACCTGAGATTTCAACCCATGTAGACGTATTCTTATATGTATAAAAAACACATTATCAAAGGTAATCGTGTTGCTATCACTTTCATTTTGTTTATGCTTTATTTGTAAATATTTCCGGATTATTTTATATCAGGTTCTATATAACATTATTCGTCAATGCTCATAAAAATTATAATTTTAAACTTTTTTCTGAGGTTAATCTTGTCAAATTCCGTAAAACTAAACAAGATTGAAAAGTATGCGACGTTGACAGATTTAGTAAGTTAGCCAGGACAAAATTCCTGAAACAGGAATTTTTAGGACTACCGAACATGCCCGAAGTGACGTTCGGTTGGTAGGACAAATACCCCGTAGGACGAATACCGCCACCTCCACGACGGCAATCTTCTGTCTCTATCTAACTCATCGTGCGATAGCGATGCGACGTAAGTCGGAGTTGAATCGTATTAAGGCGGGGTCTTAGGCGAAATCACCGGCCGCCTTCGCATGAAGTCATGGAGGCTCGGTAGGCTTAGAAGTTAAGGGGATATTCCTGATATTTTTTTCATAAGGAGATATAGCACATTTCGTTAAGGGGATATTTCATATGTTTCATTATACGTAGCATTTAAAACTTTTATATGAAAATTCAAAAAACATTTAAAGCAAATTGGAAACCTTTTCCGCCTTGTCCGAGATTATTAAAAATGATATAACCGGTTGTATTCCAGAACACGCCACAGAAATAAAATAATCTGAAATAAAAAAGCGCGTTATTTTATTCAGTGCAAGAAGACGATAAAACAGATATTACAGAAAAGTATCTGTGCTATTTCAATTCGATATGTTAATAAAAGCGACAAAGTCGAATATCTTTGCGAATTTTATTTTATGAAATATTAGATAACATTGTTATACATTTAGAAATAAGGTTTGCAGATAGGTACTCGTATGTCTCAATTATTTTTATTTTTCTCTTGCGGATCCGAAATTTAAAAAATCCTAAAAAAATGAATATTTTAATATACAAGACCACAAATATTAAAATAATATTGATTATTAAAACACACTTCCGTGTATTAACAGTATTTTTATGTATTGGCAACATTGTACAAGTTACAAGTAAAACAAGTTACAAGTAAAACAAGTTACAAGTAAAACAAGTTACAAGTAAACAATGTAATGTAATAAACAGCCAAAAATTTAGGGTAGGCGCCGCCTACCATGCCTACCCTGACGAGCCGCCACTGATAGATATGATAATTTCGATTATAAAATAACTTAAGGAGAATAATCCAGGAAATATATTTCCAGAGGCTTTCAAATTATTTATTTCTGCTTCTGTTACTGGCCAACTATTTACAAGTACTTAGGTTGGAGAGAGACATTTTCATGTTTGAGATGCATTAAAATTATAGTAGAGATTCCATGAAAAATAAACGTTTATTGCCACTTGCCTTACTTTCAATCTAAAAAGATCTTTTCACAGCTCTTCAACAATCTGATGAATTTACTGATATAATAATAAATAACTTTTCTTTATTAAGAAACCGACTCATCAATTTAATATATAAAACACAATTATTATTTCTCTCAATACTACCAATTTTTAAGTTTGCGTAAATAAATAAAAAAATAGTCTAAATTTAACTGATTTCCTACCACTATTTCATTTAACTCTAGTTAAAGTTTAAATAGCAAAATTTTCAAAAAAAAAATAACAATATATATATATATATATATATATATACAGCAGACAGTAGTATAGCAGCAGCAGCATATATAGTTGTTGTTATATAGCAGTTAGCAGCAGCATATGTTGTTATATATATATATAAATATATATATATATATACATATATATATAGCAGCATATATATATATATATATATATACATATATATGTAAAAATATAAAAAAAAAAAAAAACGAAGAAAGAAATTTATTGGGCAAGTCCACAGAAAGATTGGTCATGATACATGACTAAACACGACTACCCGTAGACACTCAGTGTTTCTGCCTCCCGGCTTCATCAATACGGGGAGGAATCAGCAACGATGAACTAGCGATCCTGAAAAGAGAAAGAAAAGGAGAAGCCAAACGAGGCACAAAGGCGCCATCTGCAGCTGGTCCGGCAGCAGCTTACAATTTGAAGCGTTACTGCCGAAACCGCCGCGGAGGCGTTCCAACACACCTCGCCGCTATCACCCTGGCCCAGAGAAAACAATAAATAAAGGAAGTTATCGTGGAAACCAGAAGAAAAGAATTTATTGTTCACGCAGCTTAGTTCATGACAGGCGACTCAGACTGCTCGTACTCAGTGCTCTTTCCGGCTTTCATCGGAATAGCAACGAATCCAGACCCTGAAAGAGTAGCGCAATGAGGCATAGCAGTGTTATTTAAGAAACCGCAGCAGCTACTTGAAGCGTTACTACCTCCGCAGCGGTTTTTCGGTAGTAACGCTTCAAATTGTAAGCTGCTGCCGGACCAACTGCAAATGGCGCCTTTGTGCCTAGTTTGCTTCTCCTTTTCTTTCTTTTTTCAGGATCGCTAGTTCATCGTTGCTGATTCCTCCCGTATTGATGAAGCCGGAAGGCAGAAACACTGAGTCTCTACGGGTAGTCATGTTTAGTCATGTATCATGACCAATCTTTCTGTGGACTTGCCCAATAAATTTCTTTCTTATATAATATATATGGTTATATATATATATATATATATATATATATATATATATATATATATAACCAAAAACTAAGAAGAAAATTTTTGGGGATAGCGGTCTAGAGGCAAAAAATTACACAATTTATTACAAACGCCGAGATTTCGGAAAATATATTTCCTTCTTCAAGGTCAACTGAATATAATATAATATTATAAACTTACGTGTAAAAAAGTTTAATTATAAAAATAGAAAATATATCAATTTCCATATGGAAGAAAGGAACTAAAATTTTGTATAAATGTTAAAATCTTCTTAAATATTCATGATTTCTGACATTACTAAAATTATTTTGACATAGAAAGGTAATTTAATTATTAATAAAAAACACGTAAAAAACATATAAGGTTAATTACATTGAAGTTGCCAAATAAAATAAAGAAAAACAAATTTTAAATATTTTTATTTTTAATAAAATGGAGTAAGAAAGAATATATATTACTAAGATCCTCAATATCTTTTCTTTTATTAATACAATTATCATTAATATAAATTTCTACATATTTCAAGAAAAAGTCTTTTATTAGTATTAAATTCAGTATATATGGATATATGATATATATAATATATACTTAAAAATTATGTTATTATGTTTATGATATATATAATATATACTTATGGATATATAATATATACTTTTTCTTATATTGGACAAACTTCTACTGTTCTTAAAGAACGTATTAATAGACATATTAGTGATTTTAGATTATGTAAACGTAGTTGTGCATTATCAGAACATGTGATTGATACACTACATAATATTGATTTTAAAATGCAAAATTTTGGATACTGAATTTAATACTAAAAGACTTTTTCTTGAAATAGTAGAAATTTACATTAATGATAATTTATTAATAAAAAAGAAAAGATATTGAGGATCTTAGTAATATATATTCTTTCTTACTCCATTTTATTAAAAATAAAAATAATATTTAAAATTTGATTTTTTCTTTATTTTATTTGTAACTTGTGATTAACCCATATGTTTTTACGTGTTTTTTATTAATAATTAAATTTACCTTCCTATGTCAAAACAATTTTTAGTAATGTCAGAAATCATGATTATTTAAGAAGATTTTAACTTTTATACAAAATTTTAGTTCCTTTCTTCCATATGGAAATTGATATATTTTTCTATTTTTATAATTAAACTTTTTACACGTAAGTTTATATAATATTATATTATATTCAGTTGACCTTTGTGATATGTTTTAGCCTTGAAAAAGGAAATATATTTTCCGAAAGCTCGGCGTTTGTAATAAATTGTTTAATTTTTTGCCTCTAGACCGCTACCCCCAAGAATTTTCTTCTTAGTTTGGCTATAATTGATCGGTCAAGACTTCCTCTTTGTATATTTGTATATTTTGAAAAAAAAAAAAAAAAAAAAAAAAAAGAGTATATATATATAGCAGCATAGCATATATGAGCATATTGGCTGGTTATATATATATATATATATACATATATATATATATATATATATATATATATATATATATACATAATATATAAAATATATTAAACAAAAAGATGTTATCGTGGGGACAGTAATAAAAAAGAAAACGAATTTATTGGTACCAACCCACAGTAAGATTAGCTATGAAACATGACTAAAATATGACTACCCGTAGACACTCAGTAACCTAACCTAACCGGCTCCATCAATACGGGAGGAATCAATTGCGATGAACTAGTAATCCTGAAAAAAGTAACAGGGAAGCAACCGAGGCACAAGGCACCATTTGCAACTTGGTTAGACAGTAGCTCACATTTCGCGAGCGTTACCACCGAAAAACAGCTGCGGAGCCAGAGAAAACGACAAACAAAAGATGTTATCGTGGGGACTGTAATAAAATACAAGAACGAATTTATTTGGCAAACCCACAGTTAGATTAGCCATGAAGCATGACTAAAATATGACTACCCGTAGACACTCAGTGTTTCTGCCTTCCGGCTTCATCAATACGGGAGAAATTAGCAACGATGAACTAGTGATCCCGAAAAAAGAAAAAGGGAAGCAGACGAGGCACAAGGCACCATTTGCAACTTGGTTAGGCAGTAGATCACAATTTGCGAGCGTTACCAACGAAAAACCGCTGCGGAGGTAGTCCAACAAACCAACCATTAATATAAAAATATTAGTATTCACTTGAATTTTATGCTTAAGGTACTTATTGAAACTTTTAAATTAATTTTGGATATTACACAAGTAAACAGGCATAAACATTATGGATTTTAAAAATAAAAATTATTTAATGAATATTTTTTTACCGTAACAAGAGGGCAAACTGGTTATAAGACTAGTTATATATATATAATTTTTAGTTTTATATAAACTGATGGAGGCTTTTATTCAGGTTATTGTCAATTAACTTTTTTTTCCTGCATTTTTTCCTGTTTTTAATTATCAATTCATTGAAGCGGTCCCTGCAA